TGTGTGTGTGTGTGTGTGTGTGTGTGTGTGTTATGAGAGAGGAAGAGAGAATGAGAGAAAGAGAATGAAGGTCCGGGTGGCTGGTGGGGACCAGGTTGTTTCTCCACCGTATTACACTTTCTAAAGTCTGCCCCCTCCTTCGGGGTCACAGGGACCCGGGACCAACCAGAACTGAATGTGACCTGAGGCTCCCTCTTTCCCTTCGGCATCTTGACCGAGGAATTAAATACATTCTCCACTGAAAGACCCTGCATGCAAAGAAACACAACTAAACTTGGCTAATTTTCTGCTGTTTACTCAGAATTCAATCCGTGCGCAATGGCCTCGTCATTTCATAGGACTCTCCGGGTGTCTGCGTCAGTGGGGCTGCCGCTTCGGACTATAAGCTCTCAAGGAACAGGGCCTGTCTGGGTCTCACCTGTCCCATAAGTCACTCACTGCAGCCCTACATGCCTCGGGATGTATAATAAATAGTTTTCCATGAGGAGGGTCCTGGGATTATAAATAGGCAGTTCAACAGGGGGCGGTCCTAACTGCTTTGCTGTATGGTGAAGGCTGCCAGCATCAGCCCAGCCGCAGCCTGCCAGCTTACACCGGTCAGAGTTTGAGTAAGCCGAAAGACGTGAAGCCAGTCCCGTGGCTCACTTGGCTCGGATCAGTCACGTTGACAAACACCGAAGCACCGGCTTGCAATTCGAAGACTCCTCCCAAGTGCATGGATTGCTGCCCGCAAGGTTTGGAGGAACTGTGGGTGTTTGCGGCTCTCAGTAAGATTCTCTCCGATCCGCTTGTGGACCTCAGGCAGAGGCTGGCTATGAAAGGCGCTTGATTCAAAGCTTCTCGATTGGAGCAGAAGGTGACTTGGGCGTAGATGTAGTAGAGTCCTTGTCTTTTAACGGCCAGTTGTTTCCCGTTTTCCAGGGTGACCAAGTTGCTGCTGAGGGTGTAGTATCCTTTGGGGGCCCACTGTAGAACTGTAACGGAGAGGGGGGAAGACCCGTGGTGAGGCGCAGCACGCACAATTGACATTCTAACAGAAAGTACAGCTTAATATTGGAATAGTGGCTTCACTTATGAATGGAAGTTTGGGGCGTCAGGGATTCTTTAAGGAGCCCTCCAACCCTCAGAGTCTACGTAGGGGCTCTGGCCGACCTGTCAGCATAGGCTGCACAGGCAGGGGGAGCTGGGTTCCAGTCCCGCAGGCTTTATTCAAGCCGGGGCACGTCACTGAATCTCCCTGAGCTTCAGTTCCTCACCTGTAACACGGGGCTAATAGTACAGCCTCTGGCCGAGACTTGTGAAGGTGAACTAAAGGAACAATGCACAGTGAGTTTCCTTCTCCCTTTAGGGCTTGGAAAGCCAGTTTGTCCTTGAACTTGAGAAAGCGTGCATGACTTCATCACCCCACCTCATAAATTACGTGTGCCAAACTATTCAAAGTCCTTGCTAATATTAACAGCCGTATTGTGCTTTTCTTGAATTTTACGAAGTCAAAGCCGATCTTCCTAGCTCAGCCTCAGCACAGAGAAAAGGCAAGACCCCACTTCTTCCTACCTGATCATGCTCTTGCAAACCCGACCTGCCTCCCACAGTAGGGACTAAAATTAGGCAAGGAAGTATGAAAATAAACCTGTCATTTCACTGTGTGTTTTGATCTTCCATTGTAGTGGGCGCCACCAACTTGAAAGTGCCTGTGTTCTTGTGGCTAAGACGGAGTACCCACCAGCAATGTGCCATTTTCTCGGCTGAGATGTTGAGTGGGTTCAAAGTAGTGTGTGCACCCGATTTCAAATCTCAGCTCCCACAGACAGCTAGACTGCTGGGGGTGGGGGTTGGGGAGAAGTGAAAGTATTGATGCATTTGCTTCCTTGAGCTTTTTTTTGGTAACTCCTATTTGGTGGTCTTAGGTCTATCAGGGTACAAGACCCAACCTGTCGAAACTCATCCTTTAGTAATTAGGAAAGCCATCCTGAGTCGCCCGACAGGTCCAGACCACTCTAGAAATGATGCTTCATTATAAGGTTTTCACTTTTGGACCACCTGACTGAGAAAACAAGGGCAGGTCCCCTCTCTTTGAGTCCACAAAGTTTCCTTTTGGATCTAATTTTCTTCCTTGCTGTGGACTGTAGGTCAAGTTCGTAGCAGCATGACTAGGTAGGACTTACAGGTTTGGGACTGGGGTTGGGGGAAAAGTGGGACTACCTTCCCACCTGGTCCCCTGCAGACCTGCTGTGATACTCTAGAACCACTAGCCATCATGGGCCTTTCGGCCGAATGTGAGCACCGTGAAATCTATCCAAGGCTAGCTATTCTTCTAGGAGATGTCTCTGTTGCTGTCATCCAATCCGGATGAGATGGTGTCATGTAGATGGCCACCCTAGACATGCTGAGATAGTTGTGATATTCTCCCATAAGTGTATTTTCTGGGAAAGGGGTACTTGGCAGAACTATTAAATACTGTGGGAGTAACTGGTATTAAAAAAGGGCTTTATGTAACTCTTCTGACAGCTAAACTAAACTACAGGAAAGTAGGCTAAGTAATGATACGTTACACTTGTATAGCGCTTGACAGCATAACTTTCTTCCTCATTAGCTGATTTGATGCTCAGAGTCACCCTATGAAGTCAGTGAGACAGGAAACTGCTACGGAGGTAAAGGGACTTGCCCGAGGTCACCCAGCAAGAAGTAGTCATGGTTCTTAAACCTCAGCTTCAGAAACTTCCTTTCCAGGGCTCTGTCTCCTGTATTACCATCCAGGAGACCCAAGTGTGTGTTGCACCCACTGAGAAGCCCAAGCCACCTCAGAGATGAGGCCATAACTCCTTTCCTCTCTCTCTGTCTCTCCCTGTGTCTCTCTCTGAGTCTTTGTCTCTCTGTCACACACATGCGTACACACACACGTGTGTACGCACACACAAACACTACTTAGAATTCTTCATGCTGAAGTTGTCAAAGACTGCTCGGATGCCCTCGGACTGCGTCTATGCAGATGGGGGATTTTATGCTAATGTGCATGTTTCCATCCATTTATCAGATGCGACACATTCTCCAGTACCAGCTACCGTGAGGTACAGATTTGGGAAAAAAAAAAGATCTAAGGGCTCGAACGATGGCAGGACGTATATGGAAATAAAACCATTCAGAGTTGAAAAGATTACAGTATGTCGCCTAATGTTACTTCATTGGAAAATCTAACATCCCGGCACCTAGTGGTCTTTGCAGAATGAGTTTACCTTTCATTTCCCTGAGGTTGGCCCCAGTGAGGCCGGTGTGCGTCATACAGGGATTGACAGATGGCAGGAAATACCCCCTGAGGCCCATTTACACACAGTGAAGAGGGGTTAGGATGAGGGACGCTCCCAGTCCGGAGGTCACAACCTGCCGTCTCTTCTATGTTATCAGAATAACGGCCCCTCCCCCCAGGAATTCATCATTTAGAATCAGCCATTGAGGAAGTACATAATGAGAACATCGGGACTATTTCCCACCTCCTTTGTCCCTTCAAGTCCCATCTGTGCATTAGAGCCCACCTTGAAGACAAAGGCGAGCGCATAAGAGGTGTCCGGGTAGCTTAGTAACTTGGGCCCCAGAGGAAGAGAGGAGCCTGATCATTAGGCGCATTGCTCTAGCCTCCTAGCCCTCCCCCTCAGGTGGCTGATGCTCGGATGCTTTGGACTTACCAGATGCTGTTTTACTGTTGGCCTCACTGATGACGTGGGCCGCGATTTGAGGCTCCTGATCACCTGTAATGAAACCAAAGGCCAACCGTCAGGCCAAAGAAACACAAAACGGGTCATGGAATGATTCGGTCTAGTTCTACAACTGTGTACTAGAGACAGTGCTTAGATAGGTTATGTGAAAGGAAAGAGAAGATGGCCCAAAATCCCCCTCACAGAGGGAAAAGTCGGCTTCTAAAATCTGAACAATTGAACTGGCTCTTTCCACTGGGCCCATTCTTCTAATAGTTGTTCAGTACTTGATTCCACTGTATATAGATTGACACAGGCTGATCTTCATTCAACATATTTTGAATCTGGCTTTTAAGAACAATTCCCATCTATTGGTTGTCTTAGTGGGCCCCAAGGTCATGTCTGTACACTTAGCTATGAAGATGCTGATGGTGTCTGATTTGGTCAAGCACTGGCCACACTGCTGTATCCCTCTCTAATGCTTATGTGAAAGGCTTGCTCCTGAATTAGATGTGCAGACAATATGTGGAAGTTTCTTTTTTTTTCCAGTCATGAGCCTGGTGCTGGACCCTCTGTAGTTGCCTTAGAAATATCGAGTCAAGTTGTATGACCTAAATGACCAGTTTTCTTAAGTTTATCACTTCCCCAAAGTCAGCTAGGTAGCACCCACATGAACCGTTACCTCAAATTTCGTTGCAATTAACAGACACCATGGCACCACTCAACATATTTTATCGTCATTCTGAAAGCAAAAGCTTCATGGAAATCAGGTGACCCTTTGCATCCAGACCAATAGTTACAGCAAGTTCTGAGTACTCTGTGCTTCAGAAAACAGTATCAGTAGCTCTGTATGGTTGTATGCATGTATTTCTTTGTATTAAATTTACATAAGCCGTATGGTCTTTTTCACTGACTTTGTGATATAGTAGTCTCTCTAATAGCATCATCTATGAACACTTCTTCTCAGAGGAACAGGAAAAGTTAGTATGTCCAGAAAGGGAGGTTACTAGGACAAGAAAGGGTCATAGAGGAACAGTGGAAGACACGGAGGAGGTTTACCCTGGAGAAGAAAAGGCTTGGGGGCCATGATTGCTGTTTTCAACATCTGGACAGCTGCTGTGTAGAAGAGGAATAATACTTTGTTCTGTATGGCCCCAAAGAGCAGGACTGGGTTCAGTGAGTGGAGATTACAGGAACAAATTTTAACTCCAGAGGAAAAAAGACCTCTCGAGTAGTATGGTAATCTTATTACAATTATTAGAGCCACTCAAAGCTGGACCAGGCTGAATTATGAGATAGAAAGTGTCTGGGCATGTTTGATCAGAGGCGAGGTGGTCAGTGCTGTTGTGAAGAAGATTCGTTCTCTGGGGATGGTGCAGGGATGGAGAACCGTCAAGGTCCCTTCTGACCGTGAGCTGTTTGAGATCCTCTGATATGAAGAACAGGGCAAAGAACAGAGTGGTCACACTGAATCACTCCTTCATCCCCAAGGCTCCACTGGTTCCCCGTGAAACATGGTTCTCACTGAGTGATGAATGACACTACCTCCAAATGATGCCTGTCTTTGTCATCTTCTCTTCTGTCGGTGGTACTAGGCTGTATGGTTGCTTTGATTAAAGTGTTGAAAATCATGAGATTTCTTCCTACTTGGTATTGTCAGCATTAAAGGAGCACAGTCTTCTCCCTAAATATGTCCATACAATTCCTTTCCAAATCACAGACACCAGAGAAGGTGTTGATTTGGCAGTTGTGTTCCTGTTCTATTTCCAGGGCTAGCAGTTCCCTGATTTGATACTGGGTTGTCCAATATAACTGGCCTAAAGCTTCCCTTTAGTTGTTAAGTATTCATAGAAACGGTAAAGAGCCACCTACCTTTGTGCATTTCAAAGTTATTTTCTTTCTTCTTCACTTCTTTGCTTTGCATTATATCCTAAAATAAGAATCATTGCAAAAGGTCATTTTGATGGGAACTCTGGTGGGGAACCTTAGAACGAGGTGTCATTCATTTGGTAGCTGTCACTACTCTGTTGCCTGTTTCTGGTGAGGATTATCCTGTAGACTCAGATCCTGTCATTAATTCCATCTTAATCGGGGGCCCCCGGCTCTGACAGATGAGCCGACAGCCGAGAAAGCCCAGGGGTAAACTTGGAAGAAGAATTGGAGCTTTATTGTCTGCCAGTGCTCTCCCCAGACCAAGACTGCGATCCTGACCCTTCCTATGACCCCAACCTCCCTGGCTTTGACAGGTATTGACCAATAATGCTGAATGGGGAGCTGATTCTACCCGGGGAACTGGTATATAGAATATTATTAAACAGAAAGCATAGTGTGCCTCTATTAGAATAAAATTGGCCTGAAATCTCGTAGGAAATGGGAATGGTAGGTTTGAATTTAGGAAGAAATCCCAAACTATGACAAGACCCTCAGACATTTTTTATTGTGTTGTCTCTTTCAGTGGTCTGAAGAGATTCTCTTGTTGCTGGTTGCCTTGTGTGGCCTGTCTTTTACTTTATTTTATTTTATTTTATTTTTATTTTTAGCAGGAGAAGGAAGGATTTATTATTACCTGCAGCAAGTAAGGAGAACAGTGGGATCTCTCCCAAAGCACTGTCTCTGGCCCATATTTATTTAGAATAATCAGCATATAGGAAACACAGGTCACCTCCCAGTGCCGCCAAGGTCCCAAGGCAAATGCTGCACTTCTTAAGGGGTTTCTCTTCACTTAGCAACTGAAGGAAGGCTAGAGGTACTTAAAGGAGCAAACAGGTTGGAAGGTAATAAAGGCTTCTGCCGCCATTTGAAGGACTGAAAGATACTGAATAAAAGACCTGGCTGGCATGAGGTCCCCCATGGCGCCTGAGGCTGAAGCCAAGGGTAGACACAGTGCGCTCACACTCGTGGGCCGGGCTTAACCCTCACCATCACGCGGCCCCCTGAACGCGCAGGAGGGAGGCAACAGTATTTTCACATCTGATAGAGTCTTGTGTGCCTTCTTATTCCTGCCATCCACCTGCTATGGGGCCCTTCTTTTCCGTGCCCCCCCAAAGAAGTCAGTGTTGTGACTCTTGAGGGTCCTGTTGTAGGCTGAACACGGGGGCCACACAGGAGGGTGTAATTCACAGGGCCCGAGGGGAGCCTGTGCCTCAGGACGCTCTCAGGGGCCACAGCGCCGCAACTTTCCACTCGAGCTGAAGCGTGGCAGTCAGCGCGGCAGCGCGGCGACAGGAAAATGTTTGTGAGATAACAAGCAAACAGACGAGTATTTCATGTCTTTTCAAAAGATGGAGTGTGGTGATTGAAGCTAAGATACTTTTAGGCCGGTGGTTGCATTGGTGTCAGGGCTGGGCCAAGACGAAAATGTGAAGTCAGCAGACTTTGCCTTTTATGCGCACAGCCTTGCCTTTCCGTGAACTTCCCCCAACCACTCTCCCCACAGCCTTTTTTTTTTCCCTCTTGCTTCTCTCCCCACCTTGATGGAAAGACTGTTTCAAGTTGACTTTCAGAAAATCTGGAATGAGTTATGTCTCTCTTAGTGGGAGCTCCATGTGGCAGGTCTGGACAGGTTGGCCGTTAACAGGAAAAGGAGATGCTGTGACGCTGTTAAAGACATCTCGGGCACTGGTGGGCAGACCACCATGGAAATGATCGTTCTAGCAGGGAGTGGGGTGGGGGAGTCGGTTCTAAGGTGAAATCATACCATTTACAATGCTGCTTCCGTTTACCCTATCATAAGGCTAAAAGCTTGCTGCTGCCTTTCTCAGGAAATAATTAGTTCCTTGTCACTCAAGGTGTTCAGAGATCGAGTGACCACTGGGTAGGGACTGTGGGGAGAAGACTCAAGCTCTGGGTTGATACTTGGATCTTATGATTTCCAAGACCCCTTCAAGTCCTATGATTTGGAGCCCCCAGCTTCAAACCTTAGGTTACTCACAGTCACAGTCAGACTGTGTGACCCAGAGAGCCTGCAAACGTTAGCTCGGAGTATAAAAATCGAATTTGGGGTTATTTTGTAGTTGACCTGTTGGGTTAAAAAAAAGTCCAAAATTTTGTTTTAGAATGAGAAATTTGGGGGAATGGTTATGAGAATGGGGCTCAGTCATGGGAGGAGAATCGGCTGGCTGGAGTACTTTGTGTCTAACGGTCGTGCACATAATAGGTGCAGACGACATTGACTTTGATTCCACCCCACTGCAGTAGACCCAAGGGGCTTCCTCTGCTGCACGAAAGGCATCTGGCTGACATCCTGAGAGGGTCTGCCCATCACAGTGTGAAACTTTGGAGCTGTCACTTTTTTCATGGGCAGAGAGACCAAACCACCTTTTTTCCTTACTCTTAATCCTGGGTAGCTGACTTGGGAAGATTTATCTATCCATCCTGAAATCAAGCCATTAGGAATTGGCCGTACAACTGTAAAACTCTCAGTAAGAAAGAGAAAGGGAGGGGAAAAAAAACCAACAGCCACTCTCACTGCTACCCGGGGGCGGGGGCGGTGGGGGGGGGCTGCTGAAGGCTGATCACCTAATTACCGAATGTCAGAGCTGGTCATGCCCTTACAGATCATCTCAGCCCTCTCATTTTATAGATGAGAAAAGTGAGGCCCAGAGAGGTGAAGTCATTTGCCCAAGGTTACACAGCCAAGCCCATTGAACATGCTATTTGGATTGGGAACCATTGTCTAAAAGTGGCTTTATTCATATTTAAATTTGCAGTACATCCCCAATACCCTGTAATGCTGACCAGATCCCTCCAAGAGCCAGAGAAACTCAAATCACTTCCAACAAAGAGGAGTCTTCATCTAAAACCTGGATTAGCGTGAAGAAGCTAAGCGCCAGCCCCAGATTCGAGCTACACTTTGATTCCTGCCGGTGACTCAAGGGTAAGCTCTGTGTGTGAGAACGAACTCCTGTTGGTTTCTCCAGACACCCACCCACCTGGCCCAGAGCTGCCGTCAGCCTGAAGGGCGGTCTCCTGTTCTTGGCCCTAAAGATCCCTGAGCGCGGAAGGTGTCTGACTCAGTGTCCTGGGAGGGAAGCAGGCAGAAATTCTTGATGTTCTACTCCAGGAGGAAGAGCTCCGAGACCCCTTGTCTCCAGCGATGGAATTAACATTGTAGGCACAGCCTCAGGAAATGTTCTGAAAACTCTTGCTCTAGGTACCCATCTTCAAACTCTCTCTGCCTCAGGTCTTGATTGGCCTTCAAGCAGACTGGGCTTCATGAGCAGATGGTATTATATGGGATCTGGGTCGAGCAGTCCTAAAAAGGTCCATCACCCATTCCCCACCCCTCTCCTCACAGGAAAAGGAAACGATCTCCCTTACACGACACTTGGAATCTCACCACAAGAGACATGTTCCTTCATATGTTAGAGTATGTCAGTGTTATGAAGTTCCCACTGCCCCCAGTAAAGGCGACACCTTACCCTGCCTTAAGCCTTAAGCCTTAAGCCTTATTTAACCGCTGCCAGCACCCCAGCGGCCAGTGGTTATTGCTTCCCTGGGAAATGGGAACCAGACCACGGGTCCACAATGGGAAGGCATCAAGGTTTGGACGGAAAGATGAGAAAATGCAAAATCCAAACTTGGCAGACTTCATCATTTTCCCAGAGGCATTTGCATGGATGAGCTCCCGAGTACGGGTAAATGTGCCCATGAGAGTGGACATTTTCCCCAGAGAGAGACTTTTTGTTCTTCTTAAAGACATTCCTATGAATGAGCACACTTCCAACTTTCCCTTCTCTTTTCACCATAGGATTTTACTTTTTGGGAGGATACACATACCCACGCATATATGTGTGTACATATGTATGTGTATGTGTATCTATTATATATATATATATATATATATATATATATATATATATATATATATATAAAACAAATGTTTAAACTGTTACATTGTCAGGTTTCAGTTTCCCGATCTAGCAGGTTTCCCCACCAAAACTTTTCAATGACCCTTTCCCCAATAACTGAGCTCCTTACCTTGACCAGGTCTTCAAACTGGCTTCTAATTTCCTCACAATTCAGTAAAGATAAGGACCCCTCTCCTTTGTTGCATCTCTGTATCGTTTTCATGAACACAAAATCTTCATGAAGATTCCTTTCATCTTCTATCTATTTGTGAAATAACAGGGACATGAGAAATTGTAATTCTGAAGGAGAGTGCCGCCAATGACATCTGCCTCTCCATTCACTGCTGTGGCATCAACAACACAAAGAGGACTTTGCAGATATAAATGGAGAGTAACCAGTTATTATACCAGATTATTGATATTGGGTATTAGTTGTTTAAAAAAAAAACGACAAAAGCCAGCAATGAAAATGTCTTATTATCTGAAATGCTAGGCAGAAATCACAGCTATTCTAATGAAATTTCATCACCTTTTCCTCTGTATTTTAGCAGCCACTTTCTATAATGGTTATATTTCCAATAGCTTCAGTCATGAGTGGCCATTATTAACGCAGTCTATAAAATAGTTTTCTGGCTGAGCTAATTTGCCCACTTCATTTTAGTGTTTGTGATGCAGGGCTTTAGAAAAAGAAGTTAATATGCAATATGTGTCAATTACTCGAGTTCTAATTACATCACTCTTTTTAACTTCAGTATTTGTAGAAAACATTTGCATTTTTAAAGAGATCACTTGTTTCATCGTCAACTACATCTGTGCCATTTTCTTGTATTGAGATCACATTTTTAGATTCAAAACAAAATCCAGTTAGCCGGCGGCTTTCACTGTCATTAAGAGAACACCCAAATGCCAGGGTAAATTTGAGTCTATCCAGGCCAGTATTTCCCTTGTAGAGACGAGGTTTAATGTCCAGGCATTTGATTAGCAGAGTCCACCAGGCCAAACACAAACAAACAAGCAGACTCAAAGTCCCACTCTTTTCTCAGCAATGAAACCTCAAATTCGAGTAACCTAGTGAATTGCCTCAATTGGCCCTGCCCCACATGATCCTGATAAAAAACCTCATGGTCTTAATCCAACGTTGGTTTCCCAATAGAGGCCACCCAAATATCCCTGAGAAAATGCAGTCTCCAAATGCTGTACACCCACAATTCCCACATCCAGACTTTTAGGAACAGCCAAATAATTGATGAAATTTCTCCTTTTCACCTATGATCGATATTTTATCAACACAGCAAATAACCCATCAGTGGAGGTGGGTAAATGCATCAAAACAAGATAAATCCTCATGATTATCTTTTCCTAAGAATGCCAAACAATCCTACTAATTTATTTCATTCTTGTTCTTTAAGTCCAACTATTTAAGAATGTAAAACATCTCAGAGGGAAACTGAGCACTCTGCAACTACAATCAGCATGTGAAGAATTAGAGAATGCCACTTTTACTAAATGGCAGCAAATTTGGGGACTTATCCATGTCTATGCTAACATGAAACACTATGAATTTTCAGATCAAATTGACATTCTGCTTCTCCAGTGGAAAATTCAAAAGAAAAAATAATTGTCTCCACCAGAAATAAAAAGTTTATTTTTTAAGCAAAATCTTAGCGAATAATCACAGCTAACGCTACATAGTGCTTAGTTTTGTGTTCGGCTCTGTTTTAAGCTCGTCACAAGGCTAAATTCATTATGGGTCAATCTATTATAGATTCACTGTGAGCTTGGTACCATTATCATCTCCATTTCTCAGGTGTGGAAACTGAGGCAGAGAAATGTAAACTAACTTGCCCAGGATCACAGAGCTAGTAGGGGACAGAGTCAAGATTTGAATTCAGGCAGTTTGACTCCAGAGTCAAAACTCTTGACCAGGAGACAAGAATAGACTACCTCATTAACTAAACTACAAACATTTTGCCACAAGACCACTTATCTATTTGGGTTCTTACCATTGTCTGTCATTTGGGTAGAACTAAAACCAACAAACCCACCCATCACTAAGAACCCCAAATGTACTTCATAAAGGTCCACGATCCATCTTACCTTGTCCAGTCTTCTGTGAAGATACACAGCAAACAGTGCTGACCCAATCATCTGGGTGATAAGAAAAACTGTAAGTAAATACATAAAAATTTTCATACTGACGGGTGGTCCAGTGGTCACAGAGCGAGGAGAAGGTTGGCTGTATGTTTCGATCATGCTGTGTTAGAGTTGAAGTGATGTCTTCTGACCGAGAAGGTGCCAGAGGCAGCATGAGAAGACTGTCAAAGTGGCCACCTTACTCAGGATTAGTTAAGAGCGCACAATCGTCGCAGCCCACACTTCCTGGAAAATGTGCTTCGCGGTCTTCTCTCCCAGCAAAAAAAGTTACGTAAAGGTTTTTTTTTTTTAAGCATACCCATATCATTCACTTCCAGGCTTTCCCTTTCGTTAGTAAAGAAGAAACATGTTTCTTCTTCCATACATTCATTCTTGCCTTGAAATGTCATAGACTTCCTAACAGACAATGGCAGTATTTTCCTATCTCTGTCAAACTTTTGGGGTTCACCCGTTTCAAGGAAAGTGACAAATGTATCCACCAGCAACAGACTTATGTCAATTTCAATCTTACTAATGTAAAGCGGGAACCCAGTATATGGGGAAAGAAAGAAACATCAACACAAGTTTGGATTGATTTTATGACTGGTGTACCACTAGCTAACTGCTTCTTAAGACTTCTTTCATCTTCAAATCCAACAAAATCCCAGCAGCTTTCCAAGTCAAGGGTACATGGTGTAAAGCAAAAAGGAGGGCTGACAATGATTAAAGAAAATTTAGCTGGAGAGATCATTCAAGAGAAATCTACTTCTCCAAGGCCAAAAGAAGTAGGGCTTGGGGGGAATTCCGGCCAAAACTCTGGGATTAAAGCAAGTAGAAATGTTACCTTGATTTCGCCAGGTTGCCTGTCTACATTGATCCAATCCATCAGATAATTGGTGGTGCCGATTTCTCGGTTCAGAATAGGAAAAACAGGCTGCAGTTAAGAGACTTGCATTCTAGCCCTTGCTTTACCAATAAATTGCTATCAACCTCGAGCAGATCACTTTGCCTCTCCAGATCTCAGCTTCCTCCTGTCCAAAGGGGTAGTTGCGCCTACCTCACCTATCCTAGAGGTTGTTGTGAAATCAGTTAAAGATGTGCATGAAAGATCTTTGAAACATGTTTAAGCAATAGAAAAACACTCTCCTCTTGAGTTTATTTGTTTAGCCTATGATATGAGTTTTCCAAATAACTGCCAACTCCTTACATACTAGTAAAGAACAAACGAACAATAACAGCATCAAAAACACCCAATGTTTTGACAACAAATTGAATCACAGAAGGGTATAGAATTACGCATTTCTAAATGGCTTTTGATTGTCTTATCAGATTGCCTTCAAAACAAAAGCAGCTATGGAAATCCCTACCCCACATCCCAAGCTGGTCTAGAAACCATGATAAGATTGCTTTGGTGATTCCTATAAAACTGTTTTGAGACACAAATAGGAAATATAACCAGCTCCTCTGATAGGCATGCTATCTGCATAGTTACCATCTGCTCTCTTCCCCGCCCACGCCCCAGCATCCTGTCCTGGGCCCAGATCTCACTACATCTGCCAAGTAGGTGGCTTCAATGCATGTGATAAACTTTGATCAGTCAAGTCAGAGGCTTCGGTTCTTAGACAAGTAACCTTAGTTCCACTAAAGGAAAATTATCACGAGAGCTAAAATGGGCTCGAGGACTTCTCCAGAGCCAGTTTCACATAGTTACAGCAGGCCAGACCTGCAAGGACCCTGTGACGTCGATCAGTTCAGCCAAGCCCCCAGGGAGAGGTCGCTGATGGGGCCACAGAGATGCAGACAATGGCACATGGGTTCACGTGACCAACTTCAAGAAAGACTGGTTGTCCAATCTCCTTGCCTCCACTTCCTGATTGCCAGCCTCCTGCTGTCTGGCTCCTGCCCACATTCTCCTGAAACTGCTTCCATCATTATTAGCAAAAGAGTTTTGGCTGAATATTTTTTAGAGTTAACTTTTAGTGACCTTTCTATTAGCCTGTTGACCTATTACTTTGTTGTCATCCTTCTGGAAACTCTCCCCTCTTGCCTCTCAGAATACTTCTTCATGTGATTTCCTTTGTCCATTGAGCCCCTTAAACCTTTGGTATCCCCCATCCTCATTCTCCTCTCTCTCTTCCTCACTCTTCCTCTCCTCTCCCCTCCCCTCCTCTTTTTCTACATGTTTGCCTTGGGTGATTCCTGTCCATTTTCATGGTTTTCCTGATCACCTTCATTGTGAAAAACCCCAAATGCTTAACTGCAGCCCTGAACTTTTGATTTGTAAGTACAGCCACCTCTGACCGTCTCCACTGGGATAGCCCAAAGCCACCTCGCATTTGGCTCCAAACTTCACTCATCTCCCGACTCCACTTCCAACCCAGACTTGTTCTCCCTCAAGTCTTGCCCTATCTCAGTGGATGGTAGCACTACACCCACATAATTATCCAAGTCAGAGACCCAGGAGTCACCCATGATTTTTTTCCTCCCTCTTGCCAGGATTACTTCCCAATCCCAGTGGCTTCCTCATCCAAAAGCTTCTTCATTGTGTTCTTTATCTCATTCTTCCTCTGCCTGGTCCTCTAGTTTGATGCAGTATTTGCTACCTTCCCAGCTTTCAAATTTTAGCTCCATTTTCTGATTTTGATTCTGTATCAGTTGTCCTTTGTGTCAGGACCTCCCATATCAGTCTCTCCCCCAACAAGGAGTGACCTGCCCACTCTTGGGCCCCCTTTAAAAATTTTCAGCTGCCTGTTGCATCCAGAAGTGATTTTGGAACTAGGTTACCAAGAAATCCATGGACCTGTGGAGTATATGAGAGTGCTAGCAGCTAAAGTCAAACAGTGACCATCTTTTTCTTAGTTCACAGAAAGAATTAAGTGAATGGAATGAATTGTTTCATTTTTCAGTTTTTCTTGCAAAACATTGTCTCAAATCTCTGTCACCCTTTTCTACTACTCCTTTTCTTCTAGTGAGTGACTGATCTGAAGCAAATAAGTATCAAGGAAAAAACTCAAAAAACAATGGATCAAACTTCAACACTTTGTTTTTGGTGTGACTAGGCTTGTGGTTGTGATTTTATAATGATAACCTAGAACACAGTCATAGTTTCTGCTAGGAAAATGATTTCCAGTACACAAGAAAGAGTTAAATATATCAGCATTTTGTTTGTTCTACAAAGGGCCTCTCAAGGACTCTTTCCCTGAACATGTCTGGAAACCCTAGCCTAGAGGATGGTGTTTCCATTGTTGCACAGGCTCTGACCCCTGCCCACCTTTCTGTCTCATCTCACAACTCACTCATGCTCAACCTTGAGCATCACCCATATCAAGCTAAGTTTATTTCCTTAAATGTGCTGTTTGTTCAAGCTGTTCCCTGTGAACGTAATGACTCTGTCCTTTCTTATCCACTAATGGTGAAGAGACACCCTCTCTCTGAAACAGGCCCTCCCAGCTGACAAGGTGCCCTCCTCTGTGCTTAATCTATCGTAGAATATGCCCTTCCATCATAATTGAGTTGTCTGATTTTCCTACCATTAGCTTCTAGAGGAAAGAGACAATCTTTTTTTAAATCTCAGAATCCTCGTTTCCTGACACATTGTAAGAAATTAGTAAATCTTTGCCAAATTACTAAATTTGCTTTTAAGGGGATAGAAAGGGGAGTTGTAAAATATTCTAACCTGGCAGAATAGCACTGGCTAGCCTCTCTGGTGATCCAAATCACAGTATAGTTGCTTTGTTTTTTTCTATTGCTGTAATTCTCTCTCTTTCCTCTGGGGTCAGTTCCATTTGTTTACGTTGGCCCTTCTCTCCTTCATGTTGATAGTTTTCCTTGAATGTCTGATAATCTTTAGTTGATTGGTTGCATTTATGAATGAAAAACTATATTAGCTCTTAGAAGTGGATGGCGTCACTTTCCTCTCCAATTGCATTGACTTGTCTCCCCGCCAGACCTCCCTCCAGGACGGGAGGGCTGACTGTGGGTTCTGTTTAAGTGGCTAGGGCTTGTCAACAAGCAGGCCTGCCTTTAGGCTCTGTGGGTGGAGAGGCAGGAAGGCCGGGACCTCCACAGCTGATGAAGTAACGAGGGCTTCTCTCTGGAGGAGCCCTTTAGCAGCTTGACTGAGGCTGGTTTTCCTTTTGTTTTCTTTTTCCTGTCTGTTGTGGAGGTCCCAGCATCCTTCCTGGAGCCCTCCCCAGGAGCTTTAGCCTGAGGGCAAAGGCCAAATATTGCTGCTGACAAAGGGTCCATGGGGGAAGGGCGAGAGGGAGAAGAGGGTCCATCTGTCCTAGCTGTTCCACTGTGGCTTAATGAGTTACCATAGTGATTCCTTCACAGCCTACCCCTGCTCTTTGCATTTATTGCCTCTGAGATCAATGCCTCCTTGAGAAAACGCCCTTTTACCTCTGATTCCTTGAATTGCAATGTTTTCTGCTCTGATTTCTCTGTTAGCCCAAATTCATTTGTTTTCTTGCTTCCCGGTATCCCAGAAAATTTATTTCACATTGATGTCACCTTTTTGTATTTCCCATGGTTGCTGTGGTTTCATTCTTTTTACATTTGTTTTTGACTGAGCAATACATTCACATGGTTAAAAATGTAAATGATACAAAAATGCCTGCAGGTAGAGTCTTCTGCCTCTTCCTCCTCATCCCATTGTCACCCACTGTTGTCAGTTTCTTGTGTGTGTCTTCCAGAGATGCCTTTATGTACATTCAAGCAAATTCATAGATATTCTTTCACTCTTTTTTTACACACAGTTGTACACAATACACTGTCTGCATCTTTGTTTTTTTTTTCATTTAACAATACACCTTGGAGATTATTCCATGTCAGCAAAGTACTTCTTTTTTAACAACTGCATAATATTCCATTGTATGAATGGCATGCCATCATTCATTTAACTAGTCTTCTCTTGATGAACATTTAGCTTGTTTCCAGTCATATGATATTAAACAATGCTGCAACAAATAACCCTATACTTATTCACTTTTTAAAGTTTCTTTTCAGACATTTCTGTGAGACCTGGAAAGCTGAAAATCACATGTTTTTGAACATTGACTACTCAACATGTTAACCTAAACACATCACCCTCAAAGGAAAATCATTTAAAAGTTATTCTTTATTTTCCATTAGTCAGATCAATGCATTGTAAATTATCCACGTTTACATCCTCTTCAAAGCGAGGCATTGCATTTTAAAGCTGCTAATACAAAGTCCTGTCTAGCCTTCAGGGTTTTG